CATGAGTGCACGGGAGTCAACCACTTCACTGTTTTTTTGCAACAAACAGAAAAGGGGTGGCAGAAGGAGACCCACCACGCCCCCAGCCTGGACATATTCCGGCACCAAGAAGTCAGCTCCCGAGGGAGGTCTTAGTATCTAGACCCTCTCTTCACTGATGGGAGATCCCACCTTACTCGAACATGCAGCAGTTTGAAAAACTTGTATCAACAGCTGGGCCAACTTAGGCAGTAAGAACCACAGGACTGGCACTCAGGGCCCATGATCCTTGTAGGGACCCATAAACAAGGTTTAAAGTCTCTTAAAATCAGAATTTAAGAAAATAAATATAATCCAGCTGGAATTACATTTTTCTTATACCAACACAGTCATAAATATAACTTTTTAAAAATTTTTATGGAGGAAGTGGGCCAGGAAAGTGAAGTGTGTTGGGACCACCAAAATTATCATGTGGCCCTGCTCTAGGGCTAAATGTTGCGCTGGTCCTCAGAAGGAACGGGGTCAATAGGAATCTGCTGCTAGGGGAGAACATGGGACCTTGAGGTCAGGTGCCTGAGCAACAAAATGGTAGATCAGCTTTTCTTCAGGAGCAGCAGAATCACACTCCGTCTTCACGCTTCAGGTCTTCATCTCCCTGCTCTCATCCCTGCTCTGGGAGAGGGTGTTTTTCAGGAAGCTCGATGAAGATAGAAGACAGCCATTGAGGACCCCACTCACACCCGGGCGGCCACTCTGTTACAGATAAACAAATTAGGGATCAGAGAGTCAACTGTGAAAGTGACATCAAGAGATGTAGGGTGATGGGATGGCTGTGTCATGGGACTCTGACGGTGACTAGAACATTGCTGCCCCCTGTGGTCTCCATAGATTGTCATCAAATCCCCAAATTCAAAGCTTTTCCCACAAAAAGGGAAACCACTGATGGGCTCAGAGTCCCCAGGTTGCTGGCCCCTATTATGAAGCTCCTGCTTCTGGCCATGCTGGTTCCAAGCCACCCGTGTCAATGCAGAACGTGGCTCCGATTTGATTTGTGTTTCCACCTAAACTCCATTTGCACAAAATTCACTGGTAGACTCACCTTTACTGAGAAGCTGGGTGAGGGGAGATAAGGGAAGGAATCTTGTAACCCCTGAAGCATGAAGATGAAGGCACATGATTCTGTTTTAATCCAGGCTGCAAAGGGTTGGTGGGAGCAGGGGGTTGGAGTGACTGACTGCTAATGAGTTTCTTTGGGGGAAGACAAATATTTTCTGGTATTGGTGGCGATGGCTGTGCAAGCTTTGCCAAGATTTTTAAAAACAAAACACTGGATTTCAAAAAAACAAAAACAGGGGCTCCTGGGTGGCTCAGTGGGTTAAGCCTCTGCCTTCAGCTCAGGTCATGATCCCAGGGTCCTGGGATCGAGCCCCACATCGGGCTCTCTGCTCCGCAGGGAGCCTGCCTCCACCTCTCTCTCTGCCTGCCTCTCTGCCTACTTGTGATCTCTGTCTGTCAAATAAATAAATAAAATCTTTAAAAAACAAAAACAAAAACAAAAAACAAACAAACAAACAAACAAACAAAAACAAAACAAAAAAAAAAACACTGAGACAAGTCCAGTGCAGACCTTGGGAATGGCTGGGTATGGAGCCTCACAGACCGTCAGGCCCATCTCCCTCCACCTGCCTCTGGGCTTTGCTGGGGCAGCCTCTCCCTCCTGACTACCTTCTCCCCTTGGGGGCTCCTGCAGTTCCAGGCCTATAGGCTCCCAGCTGTGAGGCGCTCAAAGCCAAGTTCTCTCTCCTTAATACTGCACTGAAGTTTTCAGCTTGACTGTCCATGGTCATCCCTGAACTGGACATCATGGCCAGGGGCATCGGATATGCTGATGGGCCCAGGCCCGAGTCCCTGGTGGGGGAGGGGAGGAGGGTTTGGGGGCAGAGGAAGTTGGCAAATCTTAGGCAAACTGAGGGCTTGAGAGTGGGGGATGGGTGCAGGGGGTTGCTGGAGGATAAAGGGAATGTCCTTACCAGAAGCAAGAATGGATATTAACCCAGCAAAAGCAACAGAGGTTGATTTAGTAACCCAATGACCTTGAGGAAGTCTCTGTGCCTTAGTTTCCTCATCTGGAAAATGAGAGTAATGGGAATGCCTGCTTTCCCAGGTGATGGTAAGGGCTAGATGAGAGAAAGGAAAGAAACTACCAAGACAGAACGTGGGGAGCACAGCTTAACTAGCACCGCCATTATGTGTCACATCATCTGTTCCTAGACTTCTATAATTAGTCTCGGTTATTTACTTCCTCAATACAGAGTCTTTCTCTAGTTATCATCAATTTTTGCATGCGCTTTAGCAATACTCAGTAAGCTCTTGTTTTTCTGCCTCCGATAGCTATAAAGCCATTTGTAAATTTCTTACAGAAAATTGAGTAAGAACAGTAACAGCCCCAGTAATTATGATGAGATTAGTAGGAAAGAGCTCTAATCCTGGCCAGCCTTTCTCCTAAGTCTCAATTCCAGACATTCTTCGTTCTAAAGTGTCCCTACAATCAGAATCCAGAAGCACACGGGAGAGAATGTTCTAGATCAGGATTGTAAGTGCCTTGAAAAAACACTGCACCGTCTGGCCATCCCTGCAGTTCCCTGGAGAGTCACACAATCTCTATTAGAAAAGTGGCCACTTGTGATCCTCGTTGATACCAGAGCCTCTTTTCCCCCTGGGTGCTCATGCGAGAGAGAAAAGGCAGAACTTCGGGTCGGTATATGTCACATTGTATTAGCGCTTCTTTCTGGAGACAAATGGCTCCATTAAACACTAGGAAAGCCTTCTGATACCCAGACAACCAGCTGAAAACATAGAAATAGAATTCCACACTCATAGCACAAATCTGTCTTTATAATACAGTCCCCAAAAGAACTTCAAATGACTTTGTAGGACTCGTTTCAGAGGTTCGATGAGAAGATATGACTTTGGAGGAGGGGAAAATCGGGAGGATGATTTCATTAGCTTTGTCTGTTTGGGCACGAGGTGATGATAAGAAAGGAATTAGCATCCCTGGGGACTCTTAAGGGAATAAATAAATATTTTAATATAATTTGTGAGACATTGTAATAAGGCCCAGCATGGATAATCTACTACTGTTGTTACGATGTGCTTATGGTTGGAAATCAAATATCCAAAAATAAAAAAAAAAATAGTCCTGGTTATTATTAAAAGAGCAAAAATACATATAATTTCCCAGACTGTGATTTGTATAGGGGCTGCTGGCCTCAAGGACCAACAATGTGGTGGGCTTGGGTAGAGCTTTCTCAGGCCAATTCTGGGGGTAGAAGGTTGCTTCCATATATCTGGGCAAGGAAAGAGGAAACGCAGTATCTATCCTCTGGAGGGCCTGCTGTCCTTCCTGGTGGGGCAGGTCGGAAGGACAGGAGGCCATACTCTTAATCTGTAAATATCCTCCAGAGACAAAGTGGGAATCTACCCCACGGATGGCAGAAGGGAGTATGTTTCCACCACATCACAGCTGGGCAGATTCTCAGTCAGCTACCTCCATTCCCACATGTCACACACATGGGGCCCATGGAGAGGGTCTCTAACCTGCGGTCTGCCAGCAAGCGCCATCCCTTACTCACTAGGAGGTCTTAGGCAAGTTGCCTTAGTTTACTGACCCTCAGCTTCCTCACCTGTAAAAGGGGGGTGTCTGGGCATAGTGTGCTCTGGGACTCAGTGACATGACCCACTGAGCACAGTGCTCCTGAGAGTTGTCCCCCAGCTCTCTTGTCCTTTCTAACATAAATGAAGGAGGGAGCTCTCAATTCTTCTTTCAACAGCGCTAACTACCATAGGCTACAAATTCCTATTTGCTATGGGTTTATGAGAAGCTGAGAAGTATGATTCTTTTGAAGAGAACCACATCCAGTTTTTCTTTCCTCTAAATTTCTCTGTGACACTGAGAAGACTCCCGGTCATTCTGACCTCTGGTGACCTGGACAACTTAGTCTTCACAGTGACTTGCCGCTCTGTTGTTCACTGACTCTGATATTCTGAGGGGGCTGAGGCCCTGGAGCGTGGTAAACCTTTCAGGGATTTTTGATTGAATGCCTTCTTTTTCCAGAAATGTGTCCCCATCTACACAGCTAGATGGGGTTTTTTGGTTACTACACAGCCTGTCTTCCCTGAGCCTGAGATGACTCTTACAGGAAAGTGACCAAAGTGGGTGAATCAGGGTTCTTCCCCATGAGCTGTTCTAGAATTGGGGAAGAGGGACAAGAAGCAATGAAATATAGCTCAAAATCTGCTGATAGCCATCTTGCCAGCCATTTTCTAGAAAACAGGCTGCAATGAGAGAGGAAAAAGCCAACACACACAGAGAAGCAGAGAGCAAAGACCCAGGGAGAGTTCAATCGAGCCCTTGACTTTCTAATCCCAATATCCTAGGTGCTCACTGTGTTCCTCTCCTCTCTACAGCTTGGATGTTTCCTTCCTTGGATTCTTTCAGTCAGAGAATTCTCTTTTCGTCACTTGCAACCAAAAATCCTAACTTGGAGCCCCTTTTTATTTGACCTAAACACTCCTCGTGTTTATTTGGGATGGCACAGTTGTCTTTATTTTGTTTTGTTTTATTATGGTAAGAACACTGAACATGAACTTCTCAAAAAAATCACTTTGAGCACACAATACAGTATTGCTAATGATAGGCACAGTGACGTACAGCAGATCTTTTGAATTATTCATGTTGTACAACCAAAGTGTATGCCCATTGATTGGCAACTCCCCATTTCCCCCATTCCCAGTCCCTGACAACCACCATCTTATTCTTTGATTCTATAAGTTTGATTATTTTTTTAAACAAAAACAATCCCACAGTATTTATTGTCCTCTGGTAATAACATAGAGGTAGTCAAAACAATACAAGCAAAAGTTTTAGAACTACATTTCCAACAAAGGACATCTAAAGAAACAAACAACATGACTGTCTCAAGAATTTCCCACTTTGTTGATCATTTCTAGTTGGAGACACTTTAGAGGAGGGTAATATTATCTCCTTTTAGCACGATCCAACCTAGTTGTTTTCTTGACTTTGTTTCAGAATGAATCTCTTTGGCATCACCTAATATGAGGTTCATGTACTCATCAAAATCAGTGATACAGCCCTCTACCTGCATGATTACTTGCTCATAAGGCCTCACCTGAATCTGAGATCTACTTTGCAAGTATCTGAAGATGAGGTTGATGGGCTGAACCATCACCTTCTGTACTCTTTGGCCCAGGCCACAGTGCACCATGGTGGAAACTGACAAAGACTGCCCATGAGTTTGACTATTTTTGGTGCCTCATGAAAGTGAAATCGTGTTCTCTTTGTCTTTCTGTGAATTCCATGAAGTTGCAGGATACTAACGCAACATATAAAAATCAGTTCTGTTTCTAAACCATAGCAAGGAGCCACCTGAAAAGGACATTAGGAAAACATTTCCCTTTAAAATGACACAAAAAAGAATATAGCACTCAGGAATAAATTTAGTTGAGGAGATGAAAGATGTGTACATTGCAAGCTATGAAACATTGCTGAAAGAAATTAAAGACACAAACAAATGGAGTGACATCTTCTGTTCATGGGCTAGAAGAAGAATATTGTTAAAATGTCTATACCACTCAAAGTGATACACAGATTCAGTGCAATCTCTATTAAAATCCCTGTCTTCTTTTTTTTTTTCCAGAAATGGAAAGAAATTCTAAAATTCATATGGAACCACAAAAGACCTTGAATAGCCAAGTCTATCTTAAGAGAGAGGAACAAAGCTGAAGGTATCACACTTCTTGATTTCAAAGTATATTAGAAACCTACAGTAAATAAAACAGTATGATATTGGCATAAACACAGACATATATACCAGTGGCACAGAACAGAGAAGCCAGATATAAATCCATGCATATATGATCAACAGATCTCTGACAGGGGTGCTAAGAATACACAATGGGGAAAGGAGTCTCTTTAATAAATGGTGTTGGGAAAAACTGGATATTCTCTTGCAAAGAATGAAATTGGACACTTGTTTTACACCATACATAAAAATCAGTTCAAAATTGATTAAAGACTTAAACATAAGGCCTGAAACTATAAAATTCCTAGGAGAAAACAAGGTAAAATCTTTGTGACATTGGTCTTGGCAATGATTCCATGGATATGACAACAAAATCATGAGCAACAAAAGCAAAAATAGTCTCATTTGAGGCTACATCAGACTAAAAACTTTTTGTACAGCAAAGGAAGCAACCAACAGAGTAGGAAGGCCATCTATGGGGTGGGAGGAAATATTTGTAAGCTATATATCTGATAAGAGGTTAATTCTCAAAATATATGAGGAACTCCCACAACTCAGTAACAGGAAACCTAATTACCAAATATTCAAAATGGGCTAACAGCTTGACTAGACAACTTCTCCAAACTGGTCTTACAAATGGCCAACAAGTACATGGAAAGATGATCAACGTCACTAGTCTCAGGGAATTGCAAATCAAAACCACAATGAGCTATCATTCTCACACCTGTTAGGATGGCTCTTATCCAAAACACAAAAGACTGCAAATGTTGGTCAGGATGTAGAGTAATTGGAACCCTTGTACACTACTGGTGGGATGGCATGGTTTTCAATATTTTATTAAGCCTACTGTTACATTAGCCTTGGAATTCAGCTTCTGTTGCAACATGCTGTTACCGCAGGGGAAAACTGTGAGTCCCTCCAGAGTACATAATCCTTACGTCTCTGGGCACAAAGACATCCTCTTTCTGAAGGTCTGAAAAAGAAAAAGAAAAAGAAAAAATCAGGGAGCAAGTTACCACTAGCCCAGCAGGTGGAGAGATCGAAATGTCTGGAATTCCTTAGACTACGCAGCCTGTCAGTTACTGTCTGTTAGTGTGGAATTCATTACAGAGTAGACCTAACTTTCTGAGAAGAGAGCATGAATTTCTCGTTTAGCCAGTTTGAAAACATTTAAGGCAGACTTAAAAGTCAACAATGGCTATGGGCTCTGGAGTTCTGCATTCTAGCATGGCCCAGCAGGGTTACCCTGGGGGCTCAGCTCTTAGATTAAGTTGAGTGTTTTGTGAAGCATCAAAGACCCAACATTTCCCAAAAAGTGCCAGGGAGAATCTTGTTTCCCAGGCAACAGCTTTTCTATTGCTGTCCCTCAGCTGGCTCCCACAAATTAATCATGAATATAAATGAAATGCTTCTCAAGGTAAGTCACTGGTGCCCTGCTCTGCCTGTTGTGACAGCAGTGGAAAAAGAAAGGAAAAAAGAAACAGAATGAGGTCTTAACAAAATCAATGGTGCAACTCAAAGCTAAGTGTCCAGAGTATAGCTGAGTGGCTTTAACGCTGGTCAAAATAGGGTCTGCCTAACTCAGAAGCACATACTACAGAAGCATTTCCTACCTTCACAGGAGCGGGTGCTTCCTGATAGGAGGTGTTCTTTCTGCATTTGATGCCATCTAACAGGGAGCGTGGACTGCTCACGCACTCTTGTACCTTCAGACGCTGCTCATACCAGTGGTTTAGACCAGGGTTTCACTTTTGAAGAGCGTATTCTTTCCGATGTCAAAACATGTCAACTTGAGTGTTTTGGGTTGCGGTGATAGAAAGTCAACTCAAGCTGGATTAAACTAGAAATCCATTGTTTGCTGAAGAAGAAGTCCAAAGACAGGTGCGCTTTGGGTGGGTTGATGTAACTAGGCTCACGATATAATTGAGACCCAGGTTGTCTCTGTGATTCTGCTCTGCGGTTCAATGTCAACAGCATCCTAAAGCTGGTTCTCCTTCTCATCCGAGGGTGGCTTCTGGCAGCAACCAGGCTGTGTGTTCTCCCTTGCTCGTATCCAACAGAACAAAGGGAGGCCTGCTTCTGGAAGCCTTTCAGAGGAGCAGGGAAGAAAGTTATGGGAAATTTCCAGAAAAACCTTAGCATATTTCATTAACCTGAAGCATATCACAATACCCATTCCAAACTACTTCTTGGTAAAGAGGAAGGGAGTTCCCTTGGACCAATCAGGCACATGCCTAGAGCCACAGGTGGTAAAGTCAGCTTCTCCTGAGTTACGGAGATTATTTGGGAAGGGGGTAGATAGCTGAGTCAAATCCGAGCACTATTAGAAAAGACACAGGACAAATATGTGGCTAGGCAGTCATGTATTTAGCTACTGTTAACCAGCTAAAAGTTTGAATAGCCCACTTTCCTTTCTAGGTTGCAGTTTCAATTCAAATACCATTTCTTGTTCAATTCTTCAAGTCCTTCTCTGGACTTGTTATGGATGGAATGATTGTGTCCCCCTCCTAAAACTCACATGTTGAAATCCTAACCCCCAGGGTGGTGGTGTTAAGAGGTGGGACCTTTGGGAAGTGATTAGGTCATGAGGGTAGAGCTCTGAAGAATGAAATTGTGCCCATAGAAGGCACATGGGGAAGTTTGTCCTTTCTCTCTCTGATTATTTCTAAAGATATTTTTATACAGGTATCAGAAAGTATGGAGAATAATACAAGCTTTCAGATACCAGCACCTAGAACTTTCTAAATGTTAGTTCAAATCTTTTCCTTTATCAAAAAAATAAATGATGATGGTTAACATGGAGGATTCTTTCCCATCCCTTCTTCCCAGACCAAGGACTACTGTGAATTTGGTGAGTATAATTTCAGTCCATTGCTTGGGATGCATGTACATTGTTTTTTTTTTTTTTTTTAAAGATTTTTTTATTTATTTATGAGAGAGAGAGTGAGCACAGGCAGACAGAATGGCAGGCAGAGGCAGAGGGAGAAGCAGGCTCCCTGCAGAGCAAGGAGCCCGATGTGGGACTCGATCCCAGGACGCTGGGATCATGACCTGAGCCGAAGGCAGCTGCTTAACCAACTGAGCCACCCAGGCGTCCCTGTTTGTTTGTTTTAATCAATTTTTGAAGCCCACTGAAGTTTGTATCTTGTTTCCTCAGCCAGGCTCCAACGTCTTCGAGCAGTGGGAAAACCACACTTCCAGAAAGCTTACTATGTGCCAGATACCATCCTAAACACTTTACATACACAATCCCCTCTAATCCTCATAATAGCTTTATTATTTGGGCACTACCATGATTTTAGTTTTACAGATGAGGAAATAGAGGCACAAACAGGCCCAAGGTCAAGCAGCCAGTCAGTAGCTGAGGAAGCCTATGCTTATGCTCACCGTGTGGGCTGCCCCCCTTCCCTTTGTTCTTCCTGACTGTTCACACAGCTATCACAAAAGGCCAGAGACCAGGGGGCTTATAAACAACAGAATGTATTCCTACAGTTCTGGAGGTGGGAACTCTGAGGTCAGGGCGCCATCTTGTTGTGTGTTCAACATGGCAGAAGGGGTGACTATCTCTCTGAGGTCTTTTTTTTTTTTTAATATTTTTATTTATTTATTTGACAGACAGAGATCACAAGTAGGCAGAGAGGCAGGCAGAGAGAGAGGAGGAAGCAGGCTCCCTGCCGAGCAGAGAGCCAGATGCGGGGCTCGATCCCACGACCCTGGGATCATGACCTGAGCCGAAGGCAGAGGCTTTAACCCACTGAGCCACCCAGACACCCCTCTCTGAGGTCTTTTTTATAAGGGCACCATCCCACTGATGAAGGCCCCACCTTTGTGATCAAATCACCTCCCAAAGGACCCATCTACTAATACCATCTCATTGGGGGTTAGGTTTTCAACATACGACTGGGGGGGGGGCGGACACACACAAACAGATCATAGCACTGCCCCTCACCTTGAGCCCTTCTACCGACAGCCGTCACACTAACCTCAAGCTATGATATTATCCCTGCTCATCCTCTGGGCCTCAGAGGTCTTGACACACTAGCTTGACTCTTTTATCCCCAGAAGGAATGAACTAGAAAAGAAAATCTGAAGAGGATGCTGGTTACTCAATAGCATCCTTTCTGGAATCTTCCTCATTAACAAGGACCACACAGAGGGGATCCCATGCTAGGCCTTGAGGTGAGGGGTACTGGGAGCAATGCAGGGCCTCCTGACTTCTGGCCCCACACCAGGCTGTCTGTAGCTGTGTGCTTGTATCTCAGTGTCAAAAACCATTACGGCAGAAAATAAATAAATTTTAGGTATATCCCATAACAGTAACATACATTAACATGTCATTTTAATAATATTGAAACAATATTATAATCAATATCCACAATATATATGGTTACAGTAATTATAACCGTTAACACTTTTATTTTTTTATTTTTGTTAAGATTTTTATTTATTTATTTGACAGAGAG